TTTAAAAAGCATACCATTAAGCAGAGCTTCTACCTGAAATGCTGAACAGTTACTATAAGAGCTAAGCATAACTTCACTCCATGACATTTTGTAGTTGGCTCTGAGGCAGCTATTTTGTAGTTGTCAGAATTCTGTGTGTGACACCGTGTGTCAGAATTCCAGATGTTCCACTGGCTCAAAAAGGTTGGAGATCCCAAGCTATAGCCATCTTTCACATCACTGACTATGATACCATCTGAGGGTTGTTGGGGCACTTTCATAGGTCCATTCCATACATTAACTTGTTCCTATATGGAAAGCTCTTAGCTAAATGCAATGCAGTGCAATCCTTTCCTAGGCTTTTTTCACCACACACATATACTGGAAAGCTAAAACTGGCTAGCATGATTATTACACGTTATGATTTACAAGCAGTTGCCATGTCAGCTCCTACCCTAAGGTGGTACTGGGGCAGCCAACTGAGGAAGTAAACCTGTGAATAGTAATACAACAGCTGAAGTGATGGAGAAAGCAAAGTAGGGAAGTCAAGGATGGTTCTTCATAGGTGAGGCACATAACAGGCAGCAAAAATGACAGTTATCTTCCACACAAGACTAGAAGAATGACGCTGAAGAACTAGGCAGCTAATACAATGCTGAGAACTTCTTCATTACACTCTTTGACCTTCATTACACTCTTTGGGTTGCCAAGTGATAATGATGAAAATCGGCAGAGTTTCCCATCCAAGGTCTAGGCCTAGAAACCCCTTTAATTCCCTTGACTGCCCATCTTCATGCAGCTAATAGCGCATAATCTCTGTTCAACACCCCTATGTGTGGATTCACCCCATTTCTACATTTGCTGTCCTTGGCAGCTCCTTTCTTCATCTTCATCCACTGCTTCCACAGGTTCCTGAATTCTAGTCACCACGTATCTGGCACTACTTCTTCCACTATCCTCTCTCTCTACCAGGCTTCTCAGTACTTCTGTTCCCCACCCTTCTCCCCAGAGAATAAAGCTTCTCTTGACTTTAAGTCCTGTGTGACTTCTGAAGAGCCCACTCTCCAATCAAACCACTTGCCTCAATTCCCGCCTTTTCTGTGCCTTCCTCAAGTTCATCTACCTTTTCTTCAGATCCCTTTCTTTCTTTCAAGTTTACCCCTCTTTAGCTGCATTTAGATGGCAAACTTAACTGCAATTACATTAGAATCTGTATGAACCTGGCTTGTCTCTACACTCATGTGTGTTTTTATTGCTTCTCTCTCCCTCCCTCCTGGAGAATGCAAGTTCCCAGAGTAAGCAAGTTTTATATCCACTAGATAAGACTCCAAACCAAAATTTAATCCAAAAAAATCTAACATCATCTAGTTTCTAGCAAGGACCCCTTTATGATGCTCCATGCGTCTGGGAGTGCTCCTAGACACCTCCTTAACAATGGAGGCCCAGGAAGCGTTTCGCCGCTTGAACGCATCCCGTCTCGCTCTGATGGAGACGCGCCGAGACCTGGCTGACGGGAGGGGTCCGAGTTTGTCCCAGACCTCCTCCTGGGGTCTCTGTAGGAGACCCCCCAGCCTGGGGAGCTGAGGAGAGCCTCTTCCAAGGTGACGGCCAAGGAATTAAGGCTCACCTTCTTCCCCAAAAGGTACCATCGCCACAGAGCCAGTATGGCACTCAGAGACAACTGCCGGAGCAAGCAATCACGATCAAACTTTTAAAATGCTTCCAAAAGATCTCCAAGGCTCCAAACTGTGAGTTAAGCAAAGCTCAGGTGAAAAAAGCAAACTGAACCTTGGTAGTAATTGGAAGCGCCTAAGTTTGAAGCATTGGGGGAGAGGAATTCAAGCACCCCCCCTCTTTGGAGTAAACTTTAAAAGCGGGTTTAAATCGGAAATAAAAATACTTTGAGCTAAAATAAACGCATAAGAAGTTAAGCGAAAGCAAAAACTGCTAAAGTATACAAAGCGGACTAAATCGCATAACTTTTGTCTTGTTTTGGAAAACTTACTTCTTGTTGATATTATGGCTGGGAGAGGACGGAGGGCATCAGAGAAAAAACTGGTGACCGGAAACAACATACCAACTACTCCCTCCCAGAACCAGGAAGTGACTACAGACTTCTCTTCACTGTTAGCAAATGCACTGCACCCTCTAATGGATCAGATGACTAACCTCAACACTAAGCTGGACAATGTCCAAAAACAACTGAATCAAATGGATAAAAGAACCTCAGCAACTGAGAAAACGTTGAAAAAGATGGAAAAACAGACAGAGCATTAACAAAATAGTGGATGAAGCAGAGAAGGAAAGATCCTCCAATAAAATGCAACTAATACAGCTCCAGCTGGAAAGATCCATGTACATTCTACATTTCCATGGGATCCCCGAAGAGAAGAACGAGGATTTAAAAGAACTTTTGGCGGTTGCCTTGGCCCCATTAATAGATTATAAACAAGAGGATTTAATAAAAGAGATGGATGTGGCTTATAGGACTTATCCGGACTTTATAAGGAGAAACAAACTCCCAGGGAAAACCTATCTAAAATTCACGAAACGAGCTACCAGAGAACTGGTGCTAAAGTCACCAATGGGAAAACCCTTAAAAATCAAGAATAAAGATGTAAAAATTTTGAAAGACATCCCTTTTGAATGAGCTCCCAGAAGGGACGAGGGCCCTGCAGGACCTTTCACAGTTCTGCAGGGCTTGTAAAACGGAGCTCTTCCACCAGGCTTTTGGAGCCACCACCACTAATACCTCTACCGCCAACAATTGATACCTACATTGGCAGAACCCTGACCTGTTGGCCCCTTAAATACTGCCTGAGCCAATCACTCAAGACAGCCAAAGAAGGCCGAAGAACTGACCATAAAATGAGGAATGTTGCTAGCACTTTATTATGTCTGAGTTTTAACATTATATTTATATTAATTTGTGTGATTTTATGCTATTGTATTGTCAGAATTTTATTCTGTTTGTAAGCCACCCTGAGCCAGCCTAGGCCGGGAGGGCGGGATAAAAATCTAATAAATAAAATACAAATAAATAAATGATGGATGACTGCACATTTTAACCTGAATACACATCTGAAAGCTGCCCTTGACTCAGGAGTCCTCGTCCCTTGTTTTCTGTATATTTGAAATCCCATTCAGGTAGTTCACTATCACTTGTGAGAAGCTTTACTCTCAACCCATTTAGCTCCCTGACCAACTGAACATTCCACACCACCGGAGTAAATCAATGCCTGGTACATTACTACCACAAGTGTAACACAGATGGAACAACAATTTGCACATTGATTTTCTGGAGTAAGAGTCCACACTAATAAGGAGAAAGTACATTAAAGCTGTTTTTGTGGCTACGTGTGTGGCTAAAGCTCAGATTCCATGCCAGTAGTTCATGACAATTTCCCATACTGTGCACTGGTACAAGGACAATTTCACTGCTGTCTCACGACTGCCTTTGGCTAGGAGCTACCCTGAGCATCTTGCAGAGAGAGTTACGAGTTATTACTTGGGCTGCAATCTGTTGAGTTGTACATTACAGGGCTTGTTTTGACTCAGGTTCAGTTGTTCTATAGTTCTGAAAACATACTGTCATCTAAGAACAAGTGTGGTGTGGTGGCTGGAGCAGCCCTGCCCTAGCTTAAATCCCCACACAGCCATGGAACGTATTGGATGATTTTAATCAAATTGACCTCACAATGACGTTGTGAGGCTCAAAGAACAACCAGGCCATCTACTTAAACTCTAGGGTAAAAGCAAGGGATAAAGGTCAAATGAAGAACCCAATGGATAGAATAGGCTAAAAAAAAAATCCCATAACAATCCCACATAAAGCATTGTTAAAGACTAGTGTAACATCAGCAGTGTTAAACACAACAGCTCTTATGCAATGGGTCATTTCACATTCCCCATGTTCTCTATGCAAGTCCCGACCTTCTTTGGGGGACAGACTGACACAGAAAGGGATGCATAGACAAGTATGATCACAGGTAAGAGCAGCAACAGTAAGCAGCAGTCCACTGCAGGAAGTGGTCCTGACTGTATCCACAAGCACCCATGGGAGGGCACATCAAAGCAGCTGGGGGTTCACTGTGCAGACCTGCCCCCCCCCAAAAAAGTCATACATGAACGTGTCTGAAATGTTTGTTTTTGTCTTTAAAAGCAGTTACTAACCTGATCTCTCACACAAAAAGAAAGCTCATGTAACCAGATAGGCAAGGGGGGCACAAGACCAGCAGCCCCCTCCACCCATGCCGGTCCCAAGACGAGGCGCCCCATGTTCCTCTGAAGCCAGCGTCGGCCGGCAACCATAGTTTGTACAAGGCAGCCAAGCAGCCATACGAATGGAAGAGCAGGTCTTACAAGAGCTGGCTGCCGGGAAGAAGGCTGGCGCCGGTGCAGACGCGGCTGACGTTCGCTTTTCGCCTCCTAACTCCTTTCACCGATCCCGTCTCCTCTCCACTCGCAACAAGATTCCCAAACGGCGCAGCGAGCGGAAACAGGCGCTTACCACCCCGCAGACCGAAGCCTCCATACACAAACCTGTGACCTCGAAGGCTGCCTCTGCAGCAGGCACAACTGTGCGGGACCTAGTCCCACGCAGCACGGAGGAGTTCTGCCCCCGACCGTCCTCCCCCCTGAAACGGCCCAGGGCAAGGGAAGCCAAAGGCGAGGCTGAAAAGCAGATACCGAAGAAGGATGCCACGCCATCTCCACACCCCACAAAAGTTTATGAAGCAGCGCTGACAAAGGTAGATGCTGAAAGACCGTGCTCCCCTCTCTTGCTCTCAGTGGTTGCGCCCAGTGGCCGAGAGAGACTTTGCGGGCCTTTCATTCCAGGCCGGGGAGGGGGGGGGCGGTGGACGGATCGAGTGGAGACCGGAGCTACTCCTGACCCACCTGTGCCTTCGAATGAGTTCTCTTCCGCCCCCGCCCCCCATGTCTTTCAGATAGCAATCGCAGAAGTCTACATAACACAAGAGAGAAAGAAGCTCCCCTTTCTCTTTGCACTCTCGGCTCACCTTGGGCAGCTCGCGCAGCTGGTTGGCGTCCAGCAGGAGCTCTTCGAGGCTGCGGCTGTAGCGGTAGATTTCCTCAGGCACGGCGACCAGCGAGCAGTGGCGCTTGTCGATAGACTCCACATGACGGTTGCACCGCCACAGCGGGATGCAATGAAACATAGCCGCGCAGGCGGTGGCAGAGGCAGCCAAAACAACAGCCGCCCGCTTGCCGAAGCCGCGCGGGGCTCTGGCTGCCACTCGGAGCGGGAGCGGCGCGCGCAACCACAGCCTTCCAGACGTGCGTGCTCCCACCCTCCCCCCTCGCGCGGACTTTCTCGTCGACTCCTGCCTACCGGAGCTCCAGTAAAGCCACAGTGAATCGACGGGCGCGCGCAGGCGCGCGGGTTGCAAGCCCGCCCCCTAGCAACCCCCGCCGACGCCGGGTTCCCAAAGCGCGTCCCCACAGCTGCCTTGCCAGTCACCGCCCTCTCCGCCTCCTCCTCAGCCAGCCCGCAGCAGGAGCCAGCGTCCTCGCAGTCGCCTGGGACAGGAGGAAACTCTCGCTCCCTCGCCCGCCGCCCTTCTCTTCGGTCCCAGAAGGAAACCAGAAGCAACTCCTCCGCCAAAAACACAAGAAAGAAAAGCCCTTCGTCCTCTTCCTCCTCCTTTTATTGTCTCTGTCGTCAGCCCTGGACTTCAGGCGCGCAGCTCTCCTCTCGGCTCGGCCACCTTTTTTTCATTCCTGCGCCTAACCCGGAACGCTCGCTCCCTCCTCCCCTCCTTTCTTCCCCGCGGCGCTCTCGCTTGCTCCCTCTTTCCCAGCTGACATCATCATGCCCCTCCCCTTCTGCCTGTGGTATCTGACCCCCCGGTGGGGTGCGTGTGTTACACTGACCGGGGCGGGGGAAGGAAGCACCGAGAAAAGCCCGGGGGGGGGGGGGGAGGGCAGTGGTGGGGGGGGGGGGGAACGACTGTAGCCAGGGAAAGGGGCGGAAGAAAGAGTCTCTTCCAAGTTACTTCGGGAAGAGTCTGTTTACTGCCCCCCCCCCCTTGCTAACTCCTTGCAAATCAAAGTCCTCGGAAGTCAGTGCCACGCCTTCCGCAGGATTGCAGCCGGAGAGTTCTGAAGGAGGAGGAAGCTCGCTGTTTTCGCCTTGAGTTAAGAATGTCCAGAAAGAACCGAGACACGGCGGGTGTTTTCACCCGCGAACGTGTTACCCAGGTGGAGGTGGTCTCGCCCAAGTTGATAGCAGGTTTTAAACACAAAATATAAAACTTTTTTTAAAAAATAGGAGACATGTACACAGAAGTGGTTAAGACACTGAACTGCAGGCTGTGGAAGGTTGGTAGTTCAGCAGTTCAAGACCTGAGTTGCCGCATGACTCCCGTCGCTAGTTCCAGCTCCTGCCAACCTAGCAGTTCGAAAGCAAGACATTGCAAGTAGATAAATAGGTACCACTTCAGTGGGAAGGTAACAGCGTTCCGGCCACGTGACCATGGAAACGTCTTCGGACAGCGCTGGCTCTTCTGCTTTGAAACCACCGCAACCCTAGAGTCGGATTCGACTGGCTTTCGAGCAAGGGAACCTTTACTTTTACACAGAAGTAGGAGAGTACTGAACTTGAGCGGCATATCCTGCTAGCTGGATGAAACCCCATTGACTTCAATGGAATTTAAGTTATGAGGCCGAGCAAGACTTTCTGGCTTGCACTGTTTGTTTGTTTTTAATGGTCAAACTGGCTCTTAAGAACTCCTGCGTTAAGAACGGACTTTACCCAGCAGTTACGGACTGGCAAAGTGCTATTGTGAAGACATCTGTATGCATTGTACTGGGCAATTGTGTATTACAGGGTGGATGCTATAACTCTCTTCCTTAAACAGACATTTCCAATGGAAAATTATTTTTTCTGATGGAGAAAATTCTTTGTGGAAGGAAGTCTTTCTCTGTTGGAAGAATTGTTGAAAGGGAGTCACGGGATCCAACTTAGTAGAAAGGACTCATTGGCTCCAACCCTAAAGTTATAAAAGATTGGTCAAGTAGCTAAGCTCCTTGTGAGACAGTACAGTCAAAGATCTCTATATATTGAACCCAGTAGTACTTACTTATGTCAGACAAGACCAAGAGTTTCTGTTTGGGATTGGCAAACATATTGTGTGACCCACAGCACCAACCACCTATTTGGGGAAGGGACTGTGGCTCAGTGGTGGGGCCTCTGCTTGGCATGCAGAAGGTCCCAAATTCAGTCCACATTATCTCCAGATAAAAGGATCAGGCAGTAGGTGATGTGAAAGACCTCTGCCTGAGACCTTGGAGAGCCGCTGCCAGTCTGTGTAGGCGATACTGACCTCAATGGACTGATGGTCTGATTCAGTATAAGGCAGCTTCATGTGTTCATGTATTGTGGTCTGCCAGGTGCTTGCTTTGGCCAGATGATTATGGCTGTTCAAGTTGAGTCACAAGCTGTACAGAATTAGTTTATGCAGAGGGGGACAAAGTGTCTTCATCCTCTTCCAAAAACTGCTGCTAACATTAGAGCTGTTGTCCTGAAAACACCTTGCAATTATAGTTTATGCATGCACTTCTCTTAAGTCCCAGAACCTTGTATCAGAACTATAGTGGCCAGAGAAGCTTCCAGCTCAATGCTGCCTTAGTCACAGGACAATTTGATGGGTATTTTCAAAGAAAGTAAACTGCATTGTTCTACCCTATTTGTACTACAATAACTTTGGAACTTGTGTGTTAGGAAAGACACAACTACCTTTTAATGTGAATAGGAGTATATTTAGTATTGGCATTTCCTTGTGCTGCACCTACCCATGTAGTCCTCTGCTTACATCTTGATGAAAGATCCTGCACAGTGCATACATCTACAGCTCTGAATCACTGAAGGGGCATCATATTGTATTGCACTTGTAAAGCCTTTGATACCAATTAGCTGATATGGAACGTTTAGAACAGGAACTAAAAAAATTGCAGTTCAGATTTCATGAGGAGGGGAAAGGTCTGGCTAGATTTAAGCACATACAGGAAATGGTAATAGTCAGGGAGTTCAGAGGAAGTAAGGGTGAAAAATAAGCAAAGGACTGAGAAAGGTAAACCTGAAGAAAGAACAGACAGAGAATAAAGCTTGGAGGTAAAAGAAGAAGATGGCAAGGAATGCTGATCCTATCCACAGTTGAAATATTAAAATTAATATTAATAGTACCAGTAAATCTGGTATTTTAATTAAAAAAGTGACAACAAAATAAACAGTGAGAATGAATGGCTATTATTATATTTGGCATTCTAATAATGAACAAATAAGACCCAAGATTATTAATAACTGCTTTTTAACTGAAATTCCTCTGTAACACTAACATAGTAAATCATTCTCATCATATTGATCATTTGCAAAACAATGTCATAAATACTCTGTCAATTGGCTCCATATTAATCCTTACATTTACAACAAATTCCATGTAATATACTTTATTGTTCCTTTTGAGGATGACAAATAAATTACAAGTAACTCATAAGCCATGTTATGCTTTTACAAATGATTTTTTAATCACAGTGATTTCAGTTCGCTTTATACATTGCTTGGTAGGCCATGAAATGGATCAGAGGCTGCTCTGTTAAATATGTTTGTTCAGAGATCTCATTAAACTCAATGGGTTTGAATTCCAAGTAAAGCACAAATGCTTGAACATATAGAAATGTGCCAACCAGATTTTAATTCAATTTAATGTAGGTAAATTTCTCCTATACAGCCCTAACAATATGTGCTTAGAAAAACAGAAAATATAAACAAAAGGAAAGAAAGACAGGATGTGTATGCATTGTGTTCCTCTAGCAGAGGTTCCTAAACTTATTAGGCCTACTGCCTTCTTTTCAGGAAAAAAATTACTCAGAGCCCTCCTGGACATCTACCTTAAAGAAATGGACAAAAAGATGCCCTTTGTAGATCTGCACCTGGATCGTTCCAGTCCACGTAGATCGTTCCAGACCCCCGAGAGGGCGGTATTGCCCACTTTGGGAACCAGTGCTCTAAGGACATCAGAAGACATCAACTAAATAGACTGAATAGATGTCGCTATTTTTTATGGCTGTGTGGTGGTGATGGAAAGTGCTGTCAAGTTACAGCTGACTTATGGCGATCCTGTAGGGTATTCAAGGCAGGAGACTTCAGAGGTGGTTTACCATTGCCTGCCTCTGCATCATGACCTTGGTATTTCTTGGAGGTTTCCCATCCAAATACTGGACAGGGCCAACCCTGCTTAGCTTCCGAGATCTGATAAGATCATAGAAGGGATCTCCAGGGTCATCTAGTCCAACCCCCCTGTCTTGAGTACAAATACAAATACAATACCTTTATTGGTGCTTTATACCTGCGTCTCAATTTGGCGGGAGTGGGGGGGGATGTATTTTTGCTTGAGCCAATAAGCCTCCATTTTTCGTTACTGCAGTTCCCACTTATTATTAAAGTAGAGTTCAGCTTAGTCCGGTTGCTCTACTCTCCTGTTCTATCCCTTTTGGAACATGAGCCTTAGGGATTGCTCTTAGTTTATTTTTGCTTTTTGCTTTCTTCTACGTCTTAAAACCTTCCCTTTCCTTCTCAACACCTCATTTTCTTTTGTTCAATTTCTTGTTTTTATCCTTCCTCACCTTAACCCTATCTCTTTCTATTTCCTATATTGATACTGTATTTTCCTCTCTCTTCTAGTATACATAATGACCTTTCTTTTTACAGGCAGTTCATCATGTTGAATCAACTTTTCGTGGTTAATACTACAGTGCCTCCCTATTACCAACAAGAGTAGTGATATATATACATTTATATAAATACAAAGGGGAAGGAAAAGGTACTGGGGGTTTAGTTGTTAGGCTTTTCAGATCAGTTCTTTTAAAAATAATATACAGTAATAACATCTGGTTGTTTCATATTTAAACTATTAATTAAGAGTAGGTTTTAATCAATAAATTTGATTCTATTACATTGATTGCATAGAGAAATTCATTATCTGTTTAGCTGTGTTTTATATATGTCAGTTTAATTAATTGTTAATTAATTGCGTAAAAATTCTAAATCACTCATCTGAAATCAATTTTTAAAGATCATAGTAGTCAATAAGTAAGTAAAGTGCACTATGCATTTCTTGCCATTGTTAACACTGTAGTTAACTAATGCTGTGTGAGTTCTGATAAAATGTACTTATTTTCTCATAGTTACTTGGTACCATCCTAGGTCTATTTTATAATTGTTATTTGAATTTTAACTTTTACTCTTCTAGTACTCAAAGAAAGAGCTACAGTGAGGTGTCAACATGTAATCTGCTGTCAAGATTTTCTCGTATAGACTTCCGGTTGATGGCGGCACGCTCACGGACTCACCTCCCAGACCTCCGTGCTCTGACGGATGGAGGGGGTGAGCAGGCTCGTAACCCCCCCCCAGGAGCCCCGGGAAGGGCACCTGGCCAAGGAGCTTTGAGGGGGTCGCCTCTTCTCTGTCCAAATGCCAGAGAATCGAAACTCCCCCTTGCTCCAGTGGTCCGTTCAGCCGAGAGACCTGATGGTACTAGTGAAGCTAGCCGGGTCAAGCACAGGAGATCAGGCGTTTGAAATGATGAATGAAGAGGGGTCGGAAGACCAACTTTGAACGTGAGTCAAATGAGAACTGATTTTTAAACGAAAAGACACTCCTTACCCGAAGCAGCGAAACGGCAGAAGCTAGTGGTGGGAGGGATGCCTCCCATGCCCATAAATCGTTGAGCGAAAGGGGAGGGAG